CCATTGATTAATGGTGGTGGTGCATGTTGGCCGACCTAGTGGTGATTTCTTTCCCCCCCCCCCCCCCCCCGGGGCGTCGTGTGCGCGCGCATCCTTCGTGGAAGGATTCTTGGCACATGACGGTTACCGCTTCCTGACGACCATTGCCCTCTACTTGGATTTCTCTCGCACCTTCACCAGCCCTCTGTTGTACTTTGACATCTGCCACCCTTTCCTGCAACAAAGCAGGGCAACAGTACTGCCCACCCCGCCCTGCAAGTAACAACGCATTACCGCTGCTGTGTGTGAAGTGCTGCCGCATTAGAACACTTACAACCCTCACAACGTCGCACGACGCTGGCCTGTCCAAACTGGGCCCACCTCTGTCGGTATTACTGCACGAAAGACACAGCAGAGCCGCCACCAGCCACGGTGACAAACGCGTCGCTGCCGCCACCGCCGCCGCCCCCGCCACCGCCCCTCCACTGCACCCTGTCGTCGGACAGCACCTGCAGCCCTGGTGCCAGGGCCCTCACGTAGCGGTCAAAGTAGAGGCTCTGCTTCAGCAGCAGCGAAAAGTCGGGCGGGACCCTGGGGCAGAGCACGAGATGGCGCGTGGGGGGACGGCCACGAGGCCCCTCAAAGCAAGCCGGACCAGGCAGACGGAACATCCAAGCAGTATCGCCTGGTTTGCGGCTCCCTCCCTCCGTGCTTGTCGAGCTACAAAAGGCGTGCCGGGGCGCGGCCCCCACTCTGCTGTGCCCACCTGACGCCGTGGCTCTCTGCGACCCTGACGAGCTCCAGGGCCAGCCTGTTGACCGCCGCCTGGTCCACCTCCAGCGCAGCCCCCACGCCACCCACGCCCCCGGAGCCAGCAGGCGCCGCCGCCACCACCAGGCTGCCCTGCAGCTGGTCCAGGCCCCCAAAGAAATCCGCCAGGTCGCGGGCAAAAGCGTCATAGTCCACGTCAGGGCCCGTGGCCCCCATGGCGCCCAGGGCGCGCGCCTGCATTGCCAGAGCCATGGACAACGGCAGAGCCGCATGGGATGGCAGTTGTGGTAGATGTGTGTCAAGCTGGGCATTGTGCCAGGTGCATCCAATCACCACAGCACGTCAGACCTCCCCCCCCCACACGGCCCCGACGCCCTCGTGCCGCCCCACCATGGTGGCGTAGTCCTGAGTGCCCACCGCCACCAGCAGCGCCTCCAGACCCCGCCATGTGCCCTCTGAGATGCGGCCAACAATGCCAAAGTCGATGAAGCCCACACGCCCATCAGGCAACACCTAGTCCAGTGATTAGACGAGAGGGTTGCACAGGAGGGTGCAAAGTGCCATGTTTGACTCAGCTACTGGCGCCACCCCAAGAGCTGCGGAGCGCTCTTCAAGGACTGGGTCGTGGAACTGTTTGCTCCTCATTGCAAAACAGGCAGGGCCGGCCAAGAGCCCAAAACCTCAACTCCAGGGCTCGCACACGGCTAACAAACCGAGGGCACCAAAGGACTTGAACGTACGGCTGCCAGCAGCCACCCCCACATATCTCCACCGTCACATCCACCGCACCCCGCACCCCACCAGTAGGTTTCCTGCGTGCACGTCGGCGTGGAAGGTCTCAGCATCCAGCACGCTGGCCCCCCACACGTTGAGCGCCGTTATGAGCACCGTCTCGGGGTCCCTGCTGGTGACGCGGCGAATGGCGTCCAGATCGGTCAGGGGCACACCCCGCAGCCGCTCCAGCACCAGCACGCTGTTAGGGGGTGGGATGGGTGAGACGAAGGGGGGGGTCGAGCCGAAAGGTATGTGTGAGGACAGCGACAGCAGAACGACAGCCTGCCAAAGAAGCAGTCAAGACAAGCCCACAGGGAGTGCTGGGGTCAGTCTTCCACCACGCACCGCCCTCTGAACAGCGGAGCAAGAGGCAAGCGACCACAGGAGCGAGGGCCAAACCAACACATCAATTCAAACTGTCAGCGCATTGGACAGTGCCCACCGCTTGCTGCTGTACTGCCTGTACGCGTAGGGGCAGGTGGCCACGCCGCGCAGTCCCCTCTTGTCCAGGAAGTCTGAGAACGTTGTGAGGTGCGCCAGCTCCTTGAGCAGGTCCGTCTCGTCTGCCATGGAGGCCCGCAGCTGCGCCAGGATGGGCGCCAGGCTCAGCCGCTGCAGCTCGGGCTGGATAAACTCCAGCAGACGCGTCGCCAGGTACACCTGCTCGGGGG